CGCTGATACTATCATTTCACTATTTTACTCATAAGTGGTATAACTATTATACATAAATAGAGAACGACAGAGTGAAGGCATTACGAAGCGCAAGGTTATAAAAGCAACTATCGTTTGCATTAAATAAAGAAACAAGCGCTGATTTCTATACGATTTTATCAGACTGATTTGTCGCGTCACAGTGTTCTATCCTTAACAAATGGCGGGTATATATACGTTTACGTGTGATTAGAGAAAAGTACACACGTGTACATGTACATAGGGCACTGTTCAATTATCAGGAGCAGAGAGTATAAAATAGCATTAATAATTACACGTACATGGACTAGCGTGTAACCGTAGCCCGCTCACACTGTATACCCCGAATATCAAAACGATATAAACAAGGACGTCATATTTTAAGGAAAGCGAGAGCTCTTGCTTTAAGTGCAGCGGCAATAAAGCACTCGGTTACATGCGTGTATATATGCGAAATAAAGACAAGAACTTTCGAGCTTCTTTTAAATCTATTGAACTTCTAGTGTATGTAATGCAGTACATAGTCTATGATATGGGGCTGTGTACATGTGTAGTTGAAATGTAGCATGTTGACTCTTAACGAGCAACTGATACACATATTGTTATTGCGACCACACATTAACCAGCCTTCTTTTTAAAACATACGAATATAAAATACTGTTGGCTAATATTCCTGACCTCAATTGTCTGCGCCTAACGCTGCGACTATATTATATTGCAGCTGTACATAGTTGAGGAACGTCATTTCATCCCGCCGGAGGTATATATGGGAATGTTATATACTTCTCCTGAACGTTTCTCGTTTGGGTGGCACGCTTGTCGTTTACGCTTTGAATTGTCACGTGGTCAGCGCGTGTGTTCACCCGGTTACGATCTCACTCAGAGTACCTTACGCTGTGAGCGATACTCGTTACTGCCCAACGGCCAAGGATGAACGGTCAGATGCAGCAAAACAGACACACTGATGCTGCAGTCTCGGACAAAAGAAAAAGCCAAGCGAACTCAGAAAGAAAATCGTAACCGCCGCGTTCGGTTAACAGTCGTCTCCGCCCCAACCGGAATTGAAATCTGTCTCTGCCAAACGAGGGACGAAAGCTGTACTATTATTATAGCCTTTGCTGGCCGCACTAGCCTGAAGCCGTTCTGCTGTAGGTCTCCTGAGCTACACTTTGTGATCGCTTGACACTTCAACATCTCGACGGGCGGTGCTCGAGTCGCTGCCCGTGGGAACCAAGTTTAAAGCTCTATAAAGCCCTGTACCGTATGGACTGAAAAGACAAAACGTCGGACCGAGATCAAAAACAATATACGTTATACGGTATGCGCACTACTGGAAAGCTCTGTCGAGTTACTATAGAACGTAACGCGCCGTCGAACGTTTTGGTAGCAAACGAATATGGGCACGGGGGCGTAGCTGCGGGAATTCGTAATCGACAGTTTCCGTCGTTAAAAGTCAACAAAAACCGGTTGCAATAGTTGCACTTGTTGGTTTATTAGCGAAATTTCTCTTAAATACCCTCGTTTCTATATTAAGTAATAGACAGACACGCGATATAGTGGTCCGTATGGATCAGCTGCAGCTTGCATGGGGGATCATCGGGGAACGTGAAATAGATCATTGAAAAAAACGGTAGAGTTGGTGCAAGATATAAGGTGGATTACTATAAAAATTATTTCGCGCTGATTTATCTCGTAAAATGCTCAAAATCAGATTGATCGGTTCCATCAGCGGATGAAACGTGGAGTGATGCAATCGGTCGCAAATGTTTATGATACGACTGGATGTGTTCCTCGCTAATCCTCTATGTATGTATACACAGCGAGAAAAACGTTTTACGACAGCGGTAGCGTTGTAGAAGTAACAACGGTACAAGTGGATCCTGATAAAGAAAAACAATGATTTATAAAATAATATTAATGACAAAGAACATCTAGAGAGCTCAGTAGTTTTTGATATTTCTTAAATTTAAACTGGTATTTTATACAGAAATTTTACTTTTGACTGACATCACAAATTATTTGTTTGCAAAACAGATCAGACACAAAATGGCCGTTGATGCAGACACATATACACTCACCCATGTGTATATGTGTCATGCCTTTTTGATAATTAAGGCGTTAACTAGTCGCGATTATCCTATGGGTTCGTACATGGTCACAGAGAAGTGGTGCAATGTTCCCGTAAAGGATCTGGTACAGTTTGGATAAAAAGACAGGTTTCAGTGGCGTATCCAGGGATTCGGGTTAGTGCCTTGTTAGCTAGCTCAGCTCAATATATATATATATATTGAAGAATCAGCGAGCCATCACAGCTGAAGTTCGTAGCAATTCTCCTTGACCGATGCGTAGCATTAATCTAGCAATGATGCGGTTGCCGCCAGTACCCTGTCATCCATAGGACAATGTTTCATCAAATGCTGCCATCAGTATTTACGTTCGTACGTACGAAACCTGAAAACAATAGCTAGATAGTAAACATAGGTAATCTAACTAATATTAGTTAAATGAGTCAGTACAATAGGAAGATCAACGACAGCGCTGTTGAAAACAACACGGGGCATTTTTGCTGGGCGCAAAAGCGCTGCCATGAAGCGATTTGACGGGTGAAGTGCATCCAGACAAATACCAATGAAGTATCGTGGTTCTTTCAGCTAGCAATGGATATTACCGCTGTTCAACCTAAAGCGCCGTTATCTTATCTGAAATTGAATTAAGCCAAATGATAATCATATAGTATTTAAACATCTGCGGATTATGAGGGAAAGTGGTCATTTAACTAACACCAAGTATTCACAGGAAACGACTATAGATTTTGCACTATCTGATTTTTTATTGTAGACCGGGCTGCTCCGACCCAACCATCTTTTCGAAGACGTTTTCCTAATCCAACGTACCATATCATATATATATTGTTGTATATAGCTTGTGACGGGCGCGGTTTTATTAAAGATCCCTTTACAAGAACTTGTCGACGAATAGACGGCTATTGGGATAAAAACAAAAAAAATTGGCATATAGTATTAAACCTCCTAGGATTTTCACTTAGATGTTTGATTCCTACCTTTTGCGGCCGACAATTATCTAATTACGTCCATGACTTATGTTATCAGTTTTTTTTTTATCGTTTTTGCTGTTACTGAATATCGGTCAGTAACAAAGCCCTTCGACCAGCTTCGATTTCAATTGCGCGGTGCAGTTCAGCAATGGCAGCAGCCGGACGCTTTTGCAGAAGTATTCGCTTCATCTGATTAGAATTGAATTGAACAACGGCTTATGGCTGTGCTACCGTACGATAGAAATGGTAGCCTGTGAGAGCTTTTTTCGCAGCGTTGCCTCTGACTGGAACAAGCGGTCGTAACACTGAGTAGACAAATTGAAGTTTAATTTAGGCACGTACGTGTTGGCCTGCCATACGATGGCCTAAGCACTGACGTACCATTTGTAGCAGTTGTAAGCGGCGTTGCTGGTGCTTAGAGCGACAGAAGAGAAAGTGTGATCGCCTCGAATGGTTCGACCGATCAGGTCGTATGCAGCAGTCACAAATCGCGGGGAATGCGCCGGCGTAAACGCGTCGCTACAGGCAGTTGAGCTGGCGCCGCTAACCCCCCTCCATTTAGAAGCGAATCAAGCTCAGATATCTCGCATCGTACGTGCTCCACGTTACAAGTACAGGCAATAGAAGTATCAGTGGCGGTAAATGGACACTTTTTTACTCTCTCCCCCGATTTCTATCAGTTTCTCTGTGTCTGGAAACGTCTTCACCGTAAGTCGACGTCGCCCACGCGGCACCGCAGGGCAGTGCCGTTTAGCCGATCTGAGTCGCCATAAGTTTTACGCGGACGCATACTACTACCGCGTCAAACGGGAAGCACAAAAAGCCATAATAGCCAGTAACTATTGAACTTGCTGGGTTTTCTGGAGTAATAGCACTAATCGTAATGGAGATGATTGTAGTGATCTGCCCTCGCTCGCCATGGACCTGGTCCATTTACAACGCCACCGAACCGGCGGCTGTTGCGATGGCAGCGGGTAGGGGTTATATTCGCGGCGGTGTGACAAAGATTTGCAGCGTCCTTCGTCGCTTACGTGGGTCGACCAAGCAAGAACGTTGTCGAGCAGAAACGTCAGCGCTACCAACCGGGATTGGCATTAACTTTTGCTTCTGTTACCAACAACAGCAGCAGCGGCGGCGGCGGCAGCGACGCTCACAGCGACAGTAGTAGCTAACGTTGTGCTTCAGCTTCAAACATTGACCCGCGCAATATCAACATTTCCTTGGGCGCTCGCTCGTTTACTCACTCACTCACAGGCTTGCCTTGTCCTGGACAGCCATTGCTGTGGTCTTCTCTTGGTGTCGTCCAACCGACGGTAAATTTAAGCGTGACTCCCTGACTCATACGTCGTCTCTTTGATGGCTATAGCCAGAGCAGTTGTGGCAACAGTACTTGCGACACCTTCTCATATCCCTAGAAGCAACCATCAACACTAATTATGGTACAAACGGATTGACCGTAAGAACTGTGTGAGCCGGGCTAATTGGATGCACTTCCGATTACTTGTGTTTGGCTTTGTGTGCGTTTTTCTCAGTATGTCGTTGATTTCTTTGATGATGGCTGACACGGACTGTACAGCACGCGCATTGTATTGGCATAGCAGTAATTTCGCTCTTCTGCTGGCGCTCCTGTGACTGTTGCTGTTGAGGCGGGTTTGGTTGGCCAGCGGTAGTATGACGACGACGACGGCATCGCCGAACGACTCATAATCCCCTTGCTTAGGGGACCCCGCAACTGGCGATGTCCGTTGGTGAGCAGACGGACAAAACGCGTGTCCAGCGTGCGATTGCCGATGGTAGTCGAACCAGCGGCGGCTTGTTCGATATTACCTGTGTGTTTCACACCGTGCTACCGCTGGACGACTGCTTGATACAACATCGATAGCCGACGCACCACCGCTATAAGGAGTTGATTGTTCACCAGTTCGCCATTCTTCTTTCTTGGCGCAGCATTTTGCTCAAGAATCCGTCATGGTGTGCGCGCACAGCCGGATACCCGATTATACGCATCGTCTTAGTAACAAGAAAGGGCGAACGGCAAAGTGGGCAACTACTGTGATTTCGTGAGCGTCACTGTGCGCGCCGTCGTGCCCCAGCATCCTGCCGCCCCTGGCATGGTTTGGTCGCTGACAACTGTTTACAAGAACAGTAATACCTAAAGTTATTGGTGAAACTTGAAAATTGTGCGAAGGCGGAAAGGGAAAGGGCTTAAACGTCAGAAGGAAGAAAAGTCGGCAAGAAAGTCCGGAGGAACGAAGGAGTTGTTCGATTTGGGAGGACAGAATTTCAGACAGAAGGAATCCGTAGCAAGAGATCACAGCGCCTAGTAGGGATACGATGTTCGTTAAGTGTACTCAGATGTTTCCGTGCGGTAACGAGAAATAGAGTTGATCAACTTTATTCTTTTTTTGCTCGCTTTATAGGGCACAAAAGTCATGTGAACGCCGATCGAATTCGTATGTCTGACTAATACGGACCATAGTTATCACGTGTTATTAATGAATCCGCCTACAGCTGCAAGGATCAACTTCGTGCCTTAATGTATCTGTGTTATGTTTTGCGTGCGTTTGAGCGTGCGGTCGATTTATAGTGAGAAACAAAGAACAGCTATTCAGACAAGTTGTTTCAAGCCTTGAGGACCCACCAACTTTAACAGTCCAATCAACTCGAGGCAAAATATATGTATATATATATATATATATATGTTAAAAAGGGAATCATCAGAAAAAGGTCATGTTGGATGCGGCCCGGTAACGCATCATTCACTGGAGGAAAAACTGTTGTACAAGGATTAGATTTTATATACCGATATCTGCGCTTTTCCGGTTAGCTAGTTCACAGACGACCAGTCATTGCCTTTGTTAGTCGGAATGCCTTTAACGGCGGAAGACTTAAGCCAGTTCCTCGGACATCGGAAATCAATCGATTCATATGATGACGTCCACTTAGTAGTTGTTGATAAAGACAGATGTCGGGTTGGGAGGTCGACATTTTACGCTGCTAAGGGCCCCGCCAATGAACCAGAAGATAACGCCGAGAGGAACAAAGCGTCAGTACTAATTTAATTGTATACGTAAAGCTATTAGATACGCTGGGGGCAACGCACGCTTGCCCTTCTTGCACAAGCACGAGAAGAAAGAACTGTAATATACTTCCATTTGCAACTGGACATCGGGCAAAGAAGGAGTACATCCGCATTCGTAATGCTGGTGGTTTAGCGTTAGGAAAGCTGTCGACATCATCAGAAAACATTTTTTAACAGATAGAGCGTAACTGATAATAGTATTGGCATTCTCGAATTTGTACAATTAAACAGATACATTTTCTTTACGTGCGTATAGTTATTATGTGGCAATTTTCTCTCTAATGTTACACCCCATGAAACTATGCCAATGGCGAGGTACTGTATAGTTCTATCCTAAAAAATAGAATTTAGCGTTTTTTTAGCGCCCGACTCGAGTTTTTGAAAACAATCTACCTTGATTGATTTTTTTTTTCGTATCTTTCGTAAGAGAAGCCTGTATAGGGATGTTATGACCTAGCTTGAAAGTTAACTGGTGCAACTTGATAAGGAGAGATAGGGAGAGAAGTCGTGCTCAATACGTCCAATTAAACCGATTAACCAGTTTGTCGAGCCGTTCGGTTTAAATATAATACTGTGCGGGACGTAAAGGTCTTTTTGATTCACGACATGTGTGAAACAATCTACCTCACCTTACCTCCGAAGGACGACTCATATAAACCATATTTCAGCTAGTAGACAACGAATCTGCTACCTGTCGAAGAATGGTCTGGGTAACACACTGTCATCCAAGAGCATTGGAAATGACTTTTGAACTCTATTATCTAAGAAAAAAAAGTTCGGTGTACCTAATTTACTGCAGATTTATCCGTGACGCGATATCGTAGCCTTGTTTCCGCCATAGTTATAACGTAGAACATAGGTGATGTGTAACCAGATGCCCTGCATCATTAGTAGTTAGTGTTGGTCGACGTTGTTGATGACGTCGGATGATTCGTACTAAAACATGGCTGCTTTATTTCGGCATCGACGGAAACAGTTAGCCTTGATTGTCAGATAGCTTTTCTACAAAAGCACGGTAGAAATCGAACGGGTGCCGTTCATTCACTCTACATAGCATAGGTTTTGTGGGAACAAAGGATCACATATTTGCTCGATCTGTGACCTGCTTCTGGATATTACAAGAACGAAGCCTTATCTAGAGTACCTTGAATACTATTTGATCTATTATAACTAATTCTAATTTAAGCTTGAAAATTTTCTCTGTTGCAGGCAAATTGCAAAGGCAGTAAGCGAATGCAAGACTCGAGCAGAAAATGCTAAGCAGTGAGTGCACGATTTATTTAGTTACCAGCTTGTTATATTCTGCGAGATGAAAAGATATAGATCAGGCGGTCTGGAAGCGTGCAGGGGGAAACTATTCCGCTAAATGGATTGATCTTTACAATTGGTGACTTTTACATTTTGATCACTGGCTAATCGGATATTATCGAGTTGACCTATTCTGTTGTAAAATAGACACGCTTACTTTTCCACACCGTCCTAACGGGCACGCTAGTTCAACGTTCTGAGACTGCGACAATAACTTCGATGGGCGTTCCCCAATAATAAGTAGAACATATAATCAGCTAATGAATTAGGGAACTGAAGGCCCATTGATTGCCTCAGAGCCATAGGTTGCCAGCTGAATATGAAGTGTAGTAAAATCTAAACTCAGACAGCTAATGAATGTAACCAGAACCATTTTACTTCCGAAATCTAACAAATGTCAGGTTTAACTACATTAGGCTAAACAAAATTATGCGTCGGTTAAATATCTGAGATAATTATCTGGTCATGAACATGGGAGAAATATGGAAAAAAAAAACGGAGAAAGAGAAGTCGCATAAGGACGTGAACGTAACTCCTAATTGCGTGTATTCATTATTTTTTATCAACGCGCCGTTATGATTATACAACGAACGTTTTTCGGCCTGCATATCTGTCCTGCGCAATTCGAAAAATCTAATTGGTCACCAGTGCTCAAAAGGTAGTTTTCAGGGTGTCCTGATCTTGAACTGATCATGCTTGCTAACTTTTAGAACTTGGAAAGTTACGAACTTGAGTTATCTAATCTAAATATGGTCTGTCATCGAGAAAATTGCCCATTACACAACGTGAAAAGCTTGATTCTTCATTTGAAACTGGTAACACTGTAAAATCGATATCGTTTTGGTCTGTGATATTTTCTATGCAGCTATTAAAGATTTCGTTGATTTAGTCCTCGCTTTGGAATTAATAAAAGCATAGCGTCAGCTGTGCTTTATTTGATATTTGTTTTTCTCTTTAAGTTATAATCCCTAACGTTTCCATAGAATAGCCCAGATTCAGATTCAGCCCGAAAACGGGTTATAATAAGATAGAGAGTATTGAATTTCGAAAATAAATTTCACCAATCATTGCTACTGCTATTCAATAGGTATCTAAGGCTAAGGAAAGACTATATGAAAAGTTAAATTGAGTCTTCGAAATTGGTTGTGATATAGGCAGCAGCAGTTCCATTAAGGACGATATACTGATTTTTACTAAATAAAAATCACCTACAACCTATATTTTTTTAAATTTTCTCGTACAAGCTTTGTCGAACGTCCCAGGTAAAAGTGAACTTGTAGGCATTGCGCCTTTAAATCAGCTGTTTTTAGCTTTTTCCACCATTGCTACGTGTTGAACTCGCGTCGTGTGTTACAACATCGGTTTTCCTAGCTGCACAATACAGCAAGTTCACTACTACATGATAGGTTACAAACGGAACAACGTCTACACGCTTACCATAACTTACCATAACGAGAACTTATTTCGCTAGTCTAGCTAGAACAAGAGCAAAGCGAATATGTACGATTGTTATACGGCGTAAGTAGGTAGATGTGTTACGGGAAAGAATATTGAGGGTAAGCTAAAACACGTGAGCATATGTTCCCAAACGGGCTATCTAGGTAGGCATAGCCATCTTACGAGACGTCAACCTGTCTCGATCCTCATTACCTATTTCATTTCAATTATATGATTAAGAATGAATACATTTGCCCCTTGTACGTCAATATTTGTCCGTCCGCTTCTGGTTCATTCATTCGAATCTTCCTTCTCGATTTACCAGTGTCATTATTAGACTGCGTATGTTATAGTTGTAAGGTATCTAAATAATGTATCGAAGCTACTGTAAGTCTACCGCTATCATATTTGCCACTCGTCAGTATCGCGATGGACCGAACGGCTTAGGCCCGGCGGATAAAGGCAAATTGAAGGCGGATCGCCATAGGCAGCCTGCGGTCGCTCCAATAATCCATCATGATAATGTGCCCACTGACCCCGGCCGCGATCATCCCCCTTTGACTATTATGTTAGCCCGTCGTTTACGAGAGCCTGTGACCAGCGCCCTGCATGTACGTGCGACGCCGAAAAACAAAAAGCCTAGTCGCTGCTATTTACTGCGGCGACGCTCAATGACAAGGCACATTAGTGGTCGCGGTATCGGTTTTGGCCGACAACTGTACATTGTAATGGTTTTTCCCTTAGTGTCATGGCCCGGGTGAGATATTGTAGTTAACCTCGAGCAAATGGATACAATAAGCGTACCGATAAAGAAAACGTAGCTAGTTATAGTTAACGGAACGGCGGGGGGGAATGAATGCCAGCTGATGGTGGCCTTTTGACTTTTTGCAAGGGCCTTTCAGCAGAGATTTGCTGTTAATATTTGGATGAAAGCTAGCTACCCATGAGAAGGTGGGGGGGACAAAGAACAGACAGTCTTTGGACAACGAACGATGGACGAGTGGGTCTCAATAATGTATTCAAGTATTTCGTGCGATCGCGTGCATTCGTTGTTGCACGTTTGCTGATTTCTGTGTGGGTACGCCTACAGTGTATATATGTACTTCTCTTTGTGATAAGAGCGGTTCACTGATGTTTCCGTACTGTTTCGGTTTTTTCTGTTCGATGTTTCAGGCTGGTAGGCGACCTCAAGACAAAACGGCTATCCGTAGGACACGATGTCCGTAAGTATTGAACTAATGCATGTCATATGTTTGTAAGGTAGTTCGATGTATATATACATGAAGTCACAAGGGTGGCGTGTAGCGACGACAATGGAAACAACCATTTTAATTCACCTTATATTAGATATTCGCGATAGTAACACGCTGCCATAGATAGCGACATTAATACGTTATCGTTTTTCGAAATACTTCTGTCATTGATGAATACAAATCGGACTGCTAAAAGGCTATGTGATCCATTATAAAATGCCTGAGCGAATTTTTATTTTCCGCCATTGTTTTTAATCGTTCAAACTCCGGAGTGATCGCTTTTTATCGAATACATTTGGACAATTAGTTCAATATCGGTCGGGTATGAAAAAATAACGTTTAGTTTTGTAAAGTATCATGGTTATAAAGTTGATCATATTTCTAATATGATGAAGAAGCTGGCGATACATAAGTAGTATACGAAATATAAATTTACATTGTGATCGAATAATTTCTCTATTCGTATCTATGTTGTTATGGCGGGTCATAGGTCCGTTATCATCAAACTGGTCAAAACGGCATCGTTTAGTAGTCATGTATAAATCGTAGAGAACGCCGCTCTAACGTGATAATTATACAGTGTTTCAATCAGGTTCTAGTAGTGCCTAGAATGGTCCTTTATCACATCAATATACAATGATTATAAACGAATGGGCAAACTTTCGTTGTGATATGCCCACTAATCACCGTTCAATTTCATAGAATACAAGGTGACTTCGTTTTTCTTTTTTTGTTTTTTTTTTTTTTTTTATTTGCTTACCTCTACAAGTTTCAGGACACTAACAGATATGTTTTGTGGCAATCATCTATTCGCTATCTATTCTAGTACACGCGTTTACTTTATCAACACCTAGCATTCAGCTAAATGGATGTGATCCACTCATACGTTAATGTAAACACGCAAAAATAGCACATAATTTATCGAATACTGCCTAATACGGATGGCAAATCTTACAAGTGAAACTGCTTGAAAAATTCATTGCTTGGTGATTTTTTTGTTAATGTCATATTTACTGAATTATTACGAGATAATCCAGCTCTCTAGTAGAACCGTGACTGCATTGATAACTCGGAGCAATCTGTGTAGGGTAGTTGCTAACGAAACATGCGAGCTCCTTTAAAAGTCGGATTACACACATTTCTCTGTGTAGTGTGTGCATTTCTGTACGTACGTACGCGATTACAGGGTCGTACCTCGCCGGTGTGTCTGAGCTCGGTAGCAAGTTGTCGGCGTCTGTATAAAAATCGCTGATATTCTACTTTTGTCCCCGTGTTATAGTTGCCTGTCTGACACTGGCCTACGCAAAATTGGCTTTGTTCGCCCCTGAACAAGATCTGCTGGCGTGAGGATCGCTAATGAAAAACGTTAACCCCGGAGGCAATGTGCTGAGGCGATCACAGTCTTATATATACAGTTTTATCTGCCATCTTATCAACGGCAACAAACAGAGAAAATCGCAGAACTTTGCGTTCTTCGGTGGTTCGTTCCCAATTGGACTTTTCTAATGATATTATAAAGATGGTTTTGATGGATAACCACTATTGACCAACTTGAATCAATAGGCGTTTGACGTGGAACTCAAATTTTACGAAGAAGCGTTAGTACCCTAAACATACGCTGGTCAAGTTGTAGGATTTTTCTCCTCCAGACGATAATTAATTCCATCCAAATGTGATTAATGATACACTGTTTGGATTGAATTGCTCAGAGTAAAACGTGTAAATTAGGACCATTTCAAGTTAAACAGGATGCAATTAAAAAAGGGAAATTATGGCCTTTAACGCAGTCACGACTCTCACGAGAAACAGGACCAATCAAACGCATATGCCTGTTGCGCCTATTGACGAGGCAGAACGACAAAGCGTCCTTTTTGAAACGATATGTTTGTAAAAACCTGCCATTTGGAAGGTCACCTTAGATTCCTGCATAAACTTTTTATGCCGTACGCGGTTGTTAAATGGCCTCTGCAGTAGTACACGTATTTCAGCAATTGGCTTTCAAGCTAATATAGCATTTAAACTCATGGATATTTACCCTGACAAAAGGGTGTACTTGCGCTAAAAGTGAGATTCGAACAATATGAGGTACCAGCTTCAAAGCATGCCCACATGAAGTATTCTCGATGATGTTAGTAAATTCGAAGACAATGTATATGTAACATGCAATAGTCCCCCGATCCTAACGTAAGCGAACACCGTATCTGTTCTGTATGTCATTAGACTATGCCGGTATAAGAGCATAAGTCTATGGTAGGACATCGTGCTAGATTTAAGCGATATCCTGCTTTTATTTAAATCCTGCTTCTTTATGGTTCGAGTCCACGAAGCACTTAGTTTTAATACTTAGATATATGTATATCTATAGTTCATATACGTTTCAATTAGTGCTCACAGACTATTGACAACATTTATTAAGAAATCCTTATCCCGACAATTGACGACTGTGATCACATTTAGAAAATATGTGTATTTCTAATGATTTCTTTTGTTTGTCGATCTTGGTATTAATTCCTCAATCACTGGCCGTTTAGGGGTCGGAGCAGGTCTTGGTGGAGCCACGGGTGTAACCGGCGAAGGCGACGATGACGGAGACCTGTCAGTATCAGACATCGACGGAGACACTGATTTCGACGAAAGCTATGACGAAGATGATCGGGAATCGGTTTCATTCAGAGTTGATATGCCGCCTGAGGTGATGCCGGGTAAGTACGAAAATTATACATATGCATAGTGTATTACAGATGGTAATCAATCGCATCAGCAATGCAACCATTAATTAATCAAAGCAGCATTAGATATACGCCTCCAGCCAATACAGCCTAGAGGCGTATATCTAATGGTGCTTGTTGGCCGATCCTATGTTGTCGTTGGAAACTTAAGCTGCGCGGAGGCTAGCGTAAGACGTAAAGATCATCGGGCCTTTAAGGTTCTTCGTTTTCTCGAAAATAAAGTTCTAGTTGTTTCATCGATGACTAGCCTCGATGCCGTTGCTTAGCACTACTCCAAAGGTCCGTCAAAGTAGGGGGTAAAACCTAAGTAATCGATTTTTTTTCTGAAAAACCAAGAGGTGTATATATCGAAATTCGAACCATAACTTTTAAGCCTTACGCCTTACAGATGTGCGGTCGTAAGACTACTTAATTTTGGTATAGTTGCATCTATTAAATACATGTACATCGTTGATGTATAATGCAAACTGTTTACCAAACGCGGATAACCGCAAAAAGCATAATTACAAGTAATTGACGCGATTGTCTTGCTCTCCGAAATGGTTTGAAAGTCGCGCGTAGCTGTCATAGTTGACGACGAAAGCTAAAAGCTCCATTTGTCTAACGCTGTTTATGATCTTATATAGTCATTGAGGCTTTCGGCTCAGTTGCACTGTTTCCTCGTTGAGTGCACAGATCCCCACACACACACCCCCAGAATGATGTGCACAACTGCTGAGAGTGTTGTATGTATCTTTTGTTATATCTTCGCCTCACCTCAACTAAATTAAACATCTAAATTAAAAAAACATTGACTTTAAACCTTGAAGCATATGCTACGTGCACTATCTAGTGACACACATATGCTCAGCTTCCGCAGCGTGCTACGTGCACTGTCAGCTAAATATATCATGACAGCCTATTCATACACGGGTCATCTCAGGCCAATGAGACCAGAACGTACTACGTATTTCGGGGCTGTGATCACGGATGTGGTGCATAGCGATTTCTTCCGCCATCTTCTGATGTTTCGCTTCATAATAACGTTGCCTGTCAAATTTCTCTTCAATGGGGGCAACGCATGTCGTCCTGCAAACATGTCGTAACTCAGAGAATCCGAGAACTGTACAGTGATAACATCGTGAATAGCTAAATAGACCTAACGAAATGTTTTTATGAAAAAAGACAGTAGACGACACGATGCTAACACGTTTAAAGAGATTCGGATCGCATATATTTACAATAGTAAAACTTTGTACGCGGAGATATCGACAATCCCGATTTCGGCAAGAGCTGTCGAGTTGGTGAAAGAACGGTATTCAACAGGTGTAGCCAATCGAATAAGAGAAACACATCCGTAAACACCAACAACGATAACCGTGAATGACCACAAGTAGTCCAAATACGGCTATATAGTAGATTGGCCGCCTTTCCGACGAAAATGTTCCCAAGTAGAAGCCAGCCATCGCGTCAACTACGTCTAACGAAACAAGCAAGTCTCTTAAGGCTCCCGTTCTCGTCGTGTGTAGCCGGCTACTTTCAGACGAGTTTACGTGGGCGACCCTTCCTTGTTACAAACGCACCCAATAAGAAAATCGTCGACGACAAACAGAACTGCCACAGCAATCGGTAACGAGCTGTAAGATGCGTTTACGTCGCTTGAAGAGTAAAAACTATAAGTGGACGACATAGATTTTTCTTGATCTTCTATTTTATGCTAGTAATGCATCACGCGTCGTACAGGCTTTAACATGTACCATTGTCTGGAAGAGAAAGAATGGGGTAAGTTTAATACATTATAGGAAAAACTGTGTGTTTTCATAATAATATTGCAACTTTCAAATTAGGAAAAATAGACGCCATTCTGGCCATATGTTACAATAATATAGTTGTGTACGTTTTTCATTGATCTTAAGCGCATCGCACCCCATTACGAACAAGAACAGCGAAAGCCAGTTAGCTTCTTGCAGAGAGGGATGCCACATACGATGCGAAACATTATTCAAAACGTACTTCAAGACACAATTGTTACGCCCAAGGTCGATGTGTGCTTTGCTGGATATAGCCTGACACAGCGTTGGCTAGCTATATTATCAAATATGCACGTCCGAAATACGTCTGTTTTCTTTTCGTGGATGAATTGAAATAAAAAGAGGCCTCTGAAGGAAATAAACTGCCTGCTCCCATTGTCAAGATACATTCAAATGCGAGCGCGACCCACAAAGGCTAAAGGGAGGACAAGTCGGCAAGATATTGGCTGGCCTGATGGATACAGAAAAGGGATCAGCATGTAAGAGGAGTGAATCGACAAAGCTTTCCGATATATCTTCGCTAATCAATGCTACAAGGTCCCATAGATAGATGTTTAAAAACAAAGTGACTGCCAAAATATATTGCCATGGCAAAGGAAGCCAAAAGAGGCCGTAATAATCAGACAGGCTTCTAATGATCTGTGTACCCTTACTGTTAAATATGATGAATTTAGTAGCAGTCCGTGACTATAAGTCTTTGATTGAATTAACCCAGCCCAAGGTTTACGTTTGTCGGACAAAGGTCAGTGTTTTAGGAGAGTATATACTAGCCGAATGCAACTTACCGCATTTTTTAATGCCTTTTTTTCTTTCGCGAGAACTGGGTATGTTAAACGAAAATATTGCAATATAAATTCACTACAGATCTTTTCTTCGCTTTGGCTCTCAGTGTAATTATAGATGGGGAAATCTGTTGCAAAGTCATACAATGCACCCGGGTGGGGCATACTGCTGTTTCAAAGGTACCTATAATTTACCTCGAGCGCTCAGTAGAAAATGGCGTTATCATATCAGACGCTATTCGTGTTAATGATACCCTACTGCCACCATAAAAGTCAATTGTGAACATATAATTTCTTTACTGGAATAAGATTCAGTTGCTTATGGCACCATACGCCTGTACAGCAAAAGTATAGCTTCAATTGTAGTCCACAATCAGATTCAACCTTGGCAAAAATTACCTCGTTGTTGTCCATGACACATCGAAATGTGTTGAAATAATTTGGTCCAACGGAATAGTTTTCAACCGCTTATTATTTCTACTTTTCATAGAGCCTTTGTATTTTACGACGACGAAGCTTGTTTCCATCATCTTTTTCTCATTTCATCAAAATTATATCGAATTAAGTCATCATCAAGTAATACCTTGTTTTTTAACTAAGTCCTGCCGTCAACGCCCTAGCGGCGACAAGCAATTACACCACCTATTTTCGCTTTCGATTCGTAAATCCAACTATTTTTTTTATTGTGCTTGACGTATCCCTTTCGTGTGCTTCACTTCCTCACGTTCTAAATGTTGCGCCCTCGTTTGTGTCTAGCTTACTCACCAACTACCCCAAAGCAAAAATAACATCAAGTAATAAAAATTACTAGTATGTATCTATAATGTATAAATTACACTAAAGCAAATGAGCTATTTGTCGTCAGCTCAAGGTAACTTGCTTGACAATCCTGAAATCGAAATTACTGATCTACGCTTTCAGCTATCCCGATACATAAGTGTATATATGTGTATAGACATATTTGTAGGATGCAGACATACAATAAATCATGAAAATACTATAGTTTAATTATTATCCGAAATGCCTAAATACAATTCAAATGTAAAAGCCGCCCTTTCCTTATCTGTCTTTTTTTGCCAGTTTACTGCGTTTCTAAAATTTACCACCGCTGCATAGACAGACTTTGTTGCGTTTAACAGCCTCAAGATATATATATATATATATATATATGGCGTGCTGCTTCATTTTGATGCACTTGTCACTAATTTTTGACTTCGGAGAGGAGCACGCTAGGGTACCTGTATCACCCTACGCACACTCACACATTCACGTATCTTCTTCTAGTACCAGATAGATACGGTCACTTTATATGTGATATGGCGAGTCTCGTTGAGATGGGGGCGCGTATCTGTATTTTCTGTCCGTAGTGCTCGTCCGCTTCCCCAGCTCGCAGAGGTCCTTGCTGCGAATAACACGATTGAGAGCTGGCCCATTGAAGGTTAGCAGCCCAGATAGAAGAAAAGAAATCGTCAGGAATTCTTCCACTTCTGGGAATGAGGCTGAAGGGCAGGCCTTGAGTGAACGAAACAACGTGTGGCCAAAGTGGTTAGCTTGAGATTTTTGGCGCCAAAGCGTAAGGGGAGTGATTGATTTCCTTTAGATTCGTTGTCCGGATGCGTTGTGCACGTTGTTGTACGTTACACGAAATCGGTGAGTAGTAGACTTTACGCGGTTCATCCGTTAGCTTTAAGCTGTCCATCTGTTGACTGCTGACTGTCAAGTGAAGAACAAGTGACCTGATATATTTTACGTCGAACTATATTTTAACGGTATCGCATGCATAAACATGGGGCTAACGATACTATCGCATAGCATTACTCCTTTAATACACAAAACTAGGGCACTTAGCAAATAGGATGAGTTATCTTAATGTCAATGTTATTAGTGTTGTGATACGAGCAACAGCATATAAACAACAACTATCAAATGCTCGCGTCTCTAAGTTCCCAAAATAACTTTCACGATAATTTATCGTTATTACTGCTATCATTGTAATGGTCTTCGTCAGAACCTGTCGTGAATTCAACTAGGAAAGCAACGCATCGATCGGTAACAAAACTATCGATGATGCGGATTACGATTACGTCATTCTTGGTACCGGCTATTGTCGAACGTCAGTTAGAAGATGCGTCGTTTTCACAAATCTATCGTTTATTTTGTGTTGCTATTTAAAAAGCGCATCCAGATATAAAAATGGATCTCTTGATACACGGTCGATTGGTCTTCACAGCTAGCCATTACTCAATGCCATAGAACCAAGATCTCGTCGATCTAACACTTGTCACAGGCATTTCATAGCTGTTTCTGACCTTTATCAACCTAGTCACGGCGGAAGCCGTCCATTTACTTCACTTACTAATCGCTGTTGCCGCTGCTGCTGTCAATAGTGACGCTCAAAACGAAGACTTAGTCTTCGATCAGTTGTTGTCTAGTGAGAGATTCAGTTAGTGTTTTTCTTGTCCAATTTAATCGGATAAATGCTCGTCGGCTTCCGCCATTTCTAGAGATCCTTGAAGCGCAAAAATGAAAGGGAGACATTTCACGTTGGCGTGAAATGTTTTCGAGAGAAGTGCGCAGTGAACTACCAGTGGTTGGTGTGTGCCATTATAGTAAATCTAAGTTAAAGGGAAATACGACTTTTTGATTTATCGCCCAGCAAATCTCGATATAAGAAACTGTATTGCTGAACATTCTGTGAAATATAAAATTAATGCTATTTATATTGTATTTTGCGGAACACTCAGAGATCGGCGTTTGTTGGCTACTATTATAAGCGTTAGTAAACAGTGTGCATATTATATCTGAAGGAAATGCACATCGGCTCCGCGTAATAGCAACGATGCGGTGTGTCAGGTGTGGAAACGGTACCTGAATGCCCAGAGGCACCCTCTGAGCCTTTCCGTCCAAATTAAGGACTTGTGTACCTTTCGTGCGTTTGAAAATATTGAGGCGTCGGATAGAGTGGTTCTGACGATTGCGGTAGATATCTAGGGTGACCCAGACAAAATATTTCGACGAAAGGACATGAAACTTTCGAAAAACAACACAGTCCTACTGTATGTTACTGATCGTGTTGAAGACGATTAGATGATCAGTCACTGCAGATCGAGATTACCGATCGTTCATTAGTTGGCTTTCTGAACGTACCTACCGCATACTGGACGTTACCCACGAGCTTTACTTAGCGTTTATTAGTATCCCATTAAATCTTTCTTGCAGAAGTAGAACGTAGAATCAGATGATAGTCAATAGCGTAGTAATAGTATTATATAGTTTCTTATGGCAATAGGAGATATTAGTACAAAAGCAAATATGCTGAGAAAAAAAAGATGATACCCGCAGACTGAGTGCAAAACGTTGAGCAACGTGTCGTTTCCACCCAGACAGCGTTATCGATTTCCCACGACGAAACGCTATAGGCTTTATTTTGTCCGTCATAATAATAATAATAATAATACGCTAGCATATCCACTACATACATACATACAATTTCTAAGGGAAAAATGGTAATGTATTGTTCTCGTACTTTCAAATTTGATTATGTGTCATTGGCTGCGTATAAACGGAAGCTTACTATAATCGTCCTATATCTCAAGGTATCTAGCTCTATGAATATACGTCTTTGCCCCTCTAACAATATGGTATTGTGCTATTCGGTCTCCGGCCAGCTTGAGTGTTTTCTGCTTACGTTAATACGTTGTACTTCCATGTTTTCGTTCGAACTTTTTGTGGCTCGTGAGTGTCATGTGTTCTTAATGAACTTCCTACAAATGGCTGTAGGAACACTTCTAGCGACGAAGACGCAATACACCTAAGCGTATTAACCTTTTCAATACATACGATATCATAGCAATATCTATTAACAGTGACGGTGTCCGGCATGGAAGTAAGCGACTGCCACCGACTGAAGGTCGTCAAAAGAAAACAAGGACTTTTTCTGGTTGGGTAAAAAGCCCAGACCGACGCATACTGTCACAGAAGAATAACTCATCTAGTGGCAGCGTTCCATTGACGCTAGTCTTCGTTAGAATGGAAGCCGTACGGGAAATTTATACGGACACAAATGGCTATAATAGGCGTCTATGATCGATGTACATCGGTTCCTGCCCCAATGTGCCGTCCGCAGGACGTAGGACAAATAAAGCATATGATACGTCCATACGTCGATAAAAAGATTTAGTAACAGCAAATGTAAACTGGTTCTATGATTCATTGGCGAGTGTCACGTCAACTAAATACATTTGTGTGTGTTTAAATTGATACTATTACAGATAAAGCCGCTTCGCCCGATTACGTGTGCCACAACTCGTCGAGTGAACCGAAAGACGATGCCAGTTCACTCGGGTCCGAAGCTTCATCCTACGCATCGGGTAAATTTCCACTGAGATTCTGGTCAGCAGCTATTAAACTCGATCCACTGGAGGGTAACGGCATCATTATGCAGATAAAACTGTCCACTCTGCCGTATGTGTGCAGCTTATATGCATTCAATTAGATTGGAATCAGGAACAAGTTGCGCGGGTAAATTTAAACATACACGCCAAAAAGAATTGCGGAAACGTAATACCGCACAGTTGGAACCTTAGGATTTTGAGTGCTGATCGCATAATAAGTAGGTAAATCAATGGGCTTTTCCCAGCAGAGTTCGTTATCGCTAATACTGTTAGTGTATTTCGTGTAAGCAATTTAGTCCACTTGCACGAAATACACTAACAGTATTAGTAGGAGAAAAGTAGCAAAACGCTATGCAAACCCCAGCAAACCTCTCGGGTCAGCCAGAATGTCTTGATGTCGAGATCATCTATATTTACCCTATTTGTTTAATCGTTTAGCTAGAATCGCTTGTGGATGTGAGGAAAGCTAGAGCGTCAAGAAGACTTACTCTACCGAATAAATGTGAATACCTTTCTTTTGTCATTAAAGGTTCGTGTTAGCTTCAAATTGATCAAAATGGCTAATTTTTCCAGTAAAAAAAAAATTACGACGTGGCCACTCGTCGTATTACATATATTTGTTGAAGAAGTATGCTTCCTGTACACATATCGTCCTTAGACCTGTGTAGCAGGGGAGAAAAAATATAATATCCAAGAACCATGGCGGTCTAATTTCGTTTACAAGTTAAAAACATACAACACATTGTATCCAAATGGTACCGTCGTGGGATAATCTGGGCGAGTGAATTTTGCCTAGGGCGCGAGGGGCAAGAGACAGATTCCTTTTACCGTGCTAGTTAATTAATTCAAACAAACATGGGTGGAAATAACGCAAATGATATCGGTAAAGTTTATTATGGTCTACTGCCGTAAGCACACTACTAAGCTAGGAGTTGCCCTTGCTTCAATCCGATCTGCTATATCGCATGGCCGTTGCCGTGTAGTGTCATGAGCTTCAATTAGGATGCCGCTACTGTGCAAGCAACGTTTGTCAGTGAAGCAGTCAGTAAAATCCACGAGTTCTGGCCTAGTACGAGTGCTTACTTCAGATGCGACGTTTTCGTATTAGACGTGCCCGTTTCCAGCGAAAAATGACTGGTCGTTAGACTATTCAAAGGATTTTCGTAGAGAAAAATGCGATCGCCTAAAATCCTTCAAGTGTGTGAGTGTATTTTTCGCGGTCTATCGTTGATAGACGTATCGTTGAAAAGTAGATTAGTGTTTGGTTTTTCAATTTCAGACAGGACAAGCTACAAACTAGAGCGGATCCCACATTTTCTGCTAATCCAAATCTGACCGTGCTGCTACATAATAAGTCCGTGTGTGCCATATGCAATCATGTTAATGTCTTCGTCTTTGTGCGGACGATTGAGCGTCACGATGACGTGGCCTCGTAGACGATCCTCAAAACACATATTACCATAGTATTCATATTTAAGTATAGAAAATATATACTTAAATATGAAAGCACTTCTTTTTGTAAGGGTTAGTCATTTCAGTCGAGCACGGCTGGACTTGATATATAGGAAATATCGGTAGGTTGCTGAGCCGTTAAGCGATCTAGAGATCCGGTAGCGCCTGGATGACAAAGGCAATTGATTGCCTACTTTTTACATGAGGGATTATGTTGTATCTTATAACTGTAGGTGTGATTAATATTAATAGTAATTCATATCGGGCAAGCGTAAGCATTAGCGTCCCTCCATCTTCCAGCTGAGGAATAATGTCCGTTTGTATTGTGTAATGGAAGTGGACACTCAGAATCGCTTGCTTTCTTTTTTCCTGTAAAATTTCAGCGTCATCAAATGGCCTCCAGGTCGTGGGCGGCAGCCAGGGCAAACGACCACCTCTTCCGCGCCCGGCCATCCCCACAAAACCGTACGCTCTGTAAGTAACGACTTCGGGAAAATCGGAAATATTTAAAACCGTATGTATATCGTGGCTAAAAAATGACATCTTTGAGAAGTAGGTACTGTTTACTTAATCGCTAACGTCACGTGAAACAGACTAGAGTCTTTATAGAGCGATGGATGTTCGGAATCGACTGGCTGTGCCAAGCAACACTGAGACGCGGCACGTTCTAGCAGTTTTGACGCTGTTTGACATCTTGAAACCCTCGCTCTTGTGATGGTGACCGTCCTTCAATCGAGACGGTGTGATCGCGCATCATATTCAGCAGCCGTCACACGTTATCGCAGTCGACCGCGCGTTTCGAAGAAGAAATTATTTTTAAGTGCACTGATTAGAAACTACCAGAGCGTTGAAAAGTTATGAATTTTCATCATACTTAACATGCCGAGTTATCTCTAGTGTTTTTCTAACGTATATATTTTCATGCAGGCTCTAAAAGATGCGTATCAAATACATCTGTTTACATGTCTACTATATATATGAATGCGGCCTTTGAGCCCTTTGCAACGTTATCTTACACGTGTCACACTAGCCGTCCGTAGTAAGCGTCGTTTCCTCTCACGTTTACAAGTTACATACGCTCATTTATGCTCTACGTTTCTATCTGCAGTCGACAAAGAAGGCGTTCAGCCGCTCGTCCGACAAGCCCGCCGCCTCCGCCTCCGATTCCGACGCAGGTAAAGATGACGCCGACGACAACAACAGTCAGTCTTCATTCTCCCATTAAACAGCGACAGCCGCCACCGTATAGATACCATTAGTAATAGTTATCCAACACTCCCATCTATGGCACGTGTTTATATGGCGTTTTCAAGTTGATCGAGTGGCGCTAGTCGTGCTTTCGTGCCTCGATCTTATTTTCCTCGCTATCATCAGTTCGTCCTTTTTTCTAGCAGCAATTGGTTTGGAGAGATTTTGTCAATTCCTAACCTAGGCACATCGGGACACTCTTACTTTCACACGCGTGAACCTGTGTATACCTGTCCACATAAGAGTAAATTGAAATTTGCGAATGGACATAATGCTACATGAATGTACTTTACTGTTAACGGCAATTTTTGCTTGTTACTTTTTTATAATAGACTATTATTATTGGCTAAGTGTAACATCCGCTTGCAAAGCTCGTTTTTTAGCTCTTCGAATTGCTCTATTTTTGTATAGATTGTAGCATTATATCTTGTGCTCAGGATTCGAAGCTTCGAACGTTGAACATTTTCTGTATTAACAATCGCTGCACTTAGAAAATATAGTATAATAGATTATATTATATTTAGTGATAATTAAGCAACTGGACGGCACAAAAAAACACTCTTGAAATCAACTGGCTAAAAGCTGATTTCAGGAAGATCAACGAAATTCTTATTCAGTCAAGAGCGCAAAGTGTATTTTTGTGGCCTGGGTAAAAAAAAATGGCCGCATTGACCTCCGACGACACGACAACCTAAACATAGCAAACAATAGACAAGAACCATCATGCATACCTATGCATCGGCCCAAGTGCACGTACAAGACTCGCTCGTTTTTAGTTAACAGTGGTTTTCGTTTTCGTTCAACGAGTAGTATTCCTACATGAATAGTGTTCCATCCGTGATATCTCACGATACGGCACTATTGATGTTAAGGGCACTGTTCCGGGGCTGTTTTTTGGGTGCCGGTTCTTTACGTATTTAAGTACAAGGTACTGACGGTCATTCTATTTTTCAACGCGTATAGGTCTGAGAATAATATAATTGTCATACTAGAACAACACGTTAAACAGCCCAAGATCTAGACATTATACTTTTTTTTTTTTTCCGGCCGGTTTCGATACATCTCAACTGCATGCTTTATGCCACTATTGGAGGACTTATTGACTTGGTAAGCCGAACAAATCATACTTTGCATTACATCATAAATACTCTCGCTCAAACCACCATATGGTCTGGCTGTTTACCTATCAAATGATATTTGTTGATACTTAATGACTGCTCTCTATAGCAGAAATCTACGCAATCCTACCCAGTAAATGTTGAGCGACTTGGCAGTGATGGGGCTGCCAACGTGACATCTTCGTAGCCGAATTTAACCCACATGTATCATGAGGATTTGTAGGACTAACAGGAAAGTAATGTGTTTCTATGCGAAACCCAGTTTCTGTCCTACGCACTGGAAAGCTGAGTTTTGGCTATACTACTATAGGCAATAAAAGGAGAAATTTCAGCCAGCACTTACGAAGAATCGTTACGAAACAATGAATGCAGTAACAAAAACAGAGTAAAATGTACGTTAGTGAACTCCTTAGCCGTTTTGTTGTTTATGTAGGATGACACTTGTATGGTTACTTATACTGTTGGATAATTCTTGTTGTTTAATCTGTTGTATGACTAACGTACTTCATTGCAGCCTCCGCCGGCGCCCCCGTCGGAATCGTCCGTAGATTACGAGGTTCCCTTGTGTCACGAAGCGGCGGACAGCGAAACGTCATCGTCGCTAGTCCACGATGAACAATGTAATTATCTGTTTTTCCACAACGGTCACGCTCAACGTGACATTGTAGATAAACATGGTGTTTATTGTTATTAGCGAGTTCTTCCATATAGGATTAGGGAGCTCTATCAGCCACGACCATTAGCATGTCGTTACTTAATAATGGATAAAAAAAAAATATGCGATCTGGTATACTCGTATTTAGAGCAAAATTTCAATAGTAATTTTGAAACGCGTCTCGTGCCCTGTGAAATTTAGTTGTTTGCAGTAGGCCTCTAGTGTTCATTGGAGTTCTATGTGATTTCGTTCACGAAGTAAATCTCATTATTGTACAAAAGCACTATAGTAAGAAGGCTCGCTATAAATAAATGGCGACCGGAGTTAGTGGGTGCGTAAGTAATTAAATACATATACAGTACTACAAGTATTGCAATTCATAGTAACTGCTGGTATGAAAATTAAAGTCGTTGGCAGGCAGATTTTATAGACGCCCATTCTTTTCGCAGTTACTCTTGCTTCTTCTTTGAAAATTGCCTATTTCTTACGACTGGTTGCTAGGCAATACTCTATATTTGTACAGGCGCTTTTTTCCTTATTTTTTATCCGTTTTTTTGAGCTATACTGGATTAGCTAGCTGGCCCAACCATTACAAATACTGCCTATCGTAACGCCACACCATCGTTGACGCATGACTTACTGCTATGCCACTCTTGGTCACTTGTTCTGCCGCTCATACGATATTATAGAAAGCCATATAAGCGATAATTAATGCCTACTAACTCTGTATAGCTGCTAGCCTACGGAGCATTACATGTCCCATGCATGCAGCGACGTACTACTGCTACGGCTACTAGTGTCAGCAGCATTAGCCACCCTAAGCATTTCTAGTTGTCGACAAGCACGCGCTTGCTGATATCCACGGCCATTCAGGAATTAAAAATGGGGTTCGTGTACTTAGCGTGCTTTGCTACTGGTCTTGATGTGCTCTTAATGTCTGCGTTTAGACACCGGCACCATCCTTACGCTGTTTCCGCGACGGCGGACTCACCTCGACCCAACTGGGTACTCCATTCGACTCCCTTATGTCGCGCCTTCTCCCTCTATTTCTTTTTGGTCGCTTTTCTCGCGTGGAGTTTCCCTGTTTCGTTCGCCTGAGTTGAAAGAGCTATTGGTAGCAGTGCCAGTAGTGGCGCAGGAATCAAGACTCGATCACGAGCGCACCCCCTGCTCCCCTTTGCAACTGCACTTCGATCAGTGCTATACGCAATTGCTTACCTAACAATCTGGGCTAACCCTATCGTGGGTATTGGTGGGGAGTACTCAGGTAGCATCTCAGTACACGCAGGCGCGCTGATCACGCCCATTTGCATTATTTCCACCCAATGGCCACCAACGGCCTGGTTTGCGAAGCCGTTCTTACTTGCTAGTCAAGCTGAATTGGTGCTATGCAAGCAACAAGAAGTAGCAACAAGCGAATGCTTGTTGCTACTTCTTGTTATGGAGACTTGGCCTGGCTGCCTCCAAGTGCCCCAACTCCCAGGTGTTTTTCGGTTTTTGCTCGAAATCGCTTAACGTTCTCCCAGGACCATCTTGAACCACTGTATAAAAAGGCTGGCAGGAAATTTGACACAGAAAAAAAAGTGAAAATATAATAGGTTTACAAAGCATAAGTGATGATTTTCAGGTGGCATTTTTTAAACTCATAGACCGATATGGTTAAAACATACGCATCCACATATGTCGATAATGGAAATCTATTTTGATGTCTTTAATTTAATGTTTTAATGGCGACTCATTTAGTGTCAATATCGATTTATTTGCTCGATTTATTTATTATTAATTATATAATTTTGTTTGCAGCCCCGAGACGTCGTAAACATACAGATGGTTTCGAAGTTGATACTCTAAGTTCTAATTGCACGAATCATTGAAAATGTAGAGAAGTAACCAACATTTCTTGGGCTGGCCTCCTACACGTTTCTAGCCTTTGCCTATAAAAAGCTACCATTATGGAAACCGTAAACAGTTTGTCCGTTGAGCGCTCGCAGTCTCTTCTATACTATGGGACAGGTAGCAAGTAGCGCCCGTGAGATCGATTCTCATTTACGGTGCCATATACTTGTATACCTGCTACGTTATTGGTCTGGCCTCACGCTTACCGCCTCCTGCGCGCTCAGAGCACACTCTTTTCCTATTGTTTCCAAGCCAGTGACTTTTGACGCCATTAGCTATTACATACACTCGTCGGAAAGAAGAGGTCTATGAGTCGCCTATGTGGACGAAGTGACATTGATGCACATATGTGCCACAGCCAACTGCACCCGTTCCACGCCGATTCCTCGTAACTTGTATAATCGGTCAGGTTAGAAACCACCTCACGTCATCATCTCGATGATTTATTAAAAACAACACCACTAACTTTGCTTCCAAAAGTAACACTTTTTCATTTTTTGGCTCCTTATAAAAAAAGTTTACATTTTACAGCTGTGCTGATTAACGTTATACATTTGCTGAATCATGATGACATAAGTAGAGCGGTTGTTGCTATAAGTATCGATGTAATATTTATTCAATCATAAATTGTCTCATTTTCGCTACCATGGATACATTATTTACCATATCATTCATATAGACGAAGTAAGCATCCGTCTTGGTTGTAAGAACCTCTTGTCCAGTATCAAAGTGTAGCATATGGGTGAAGAACTATGCTTCGTCCGTTTACGCTTCATTCTTCAACAATTCTGTTAAAGTTCGCTCGAATTTTCTTTTGGTGGGCTGTGGGCTTATTTTGTATGCTGGCGCTACACGAACGACAACATCAGATTTTTCAAGACTCAGGTAAATCGCTGGCCGGAAAAACGGGAAGTGCTCTTATGCGAAGCTAAGAAACACCAACAATTGCTGCAGAATTGCTCTTTCTCCGTACGTAGCTAATTATAAGAATGTGAGAAGGTTTCGTGTGGAGGAACCACCGAAATATTACCTGTATGAAAGAAGAGAGATGTTTCGTGCGATGGACCCGAGAAAAGATCCAACATGATCGATAACGCCGATGGCAGAAAATTATTTTCTACCCAAAATGGTGTATTTGTATGAAGGCGTATGGATTCAAGCCAACATATCATTGACTTTGTTTGAAAGAAACCGCTTGTAGTGTCGTGTACTGGGTGATATATATATATATATATATATATATATATATTAAATAAGAATAAAATAACAGAATGAAATAATTAAGAATGACTCTACTTAGGGTTTAATGAACTTACCTTTTTCATGTTGCTGCTTTATTTTACTCAGCAACCCGTTAGGAGGACAAGAAGACGAAGAGCAGAAAATAGTATAAAAGTCCAATGGCAACAACAAAGAGCTGTGACAGATTTTGACGCTAATGGGAACAACTTACAAGCACAGCTTTTATTAAATTGTACAGTGCTTACCTATACAAGAAAGTTACTAATGCGGATATACGAGCAGAAAGCAGCTGCTGTTAAGTAGTAAATTTAAAACAACACGCCCCAAAAGGTCAGCAGCTATAATTCATTAGATCACTTCACTTATGTCTCGATGCGTTAACATGCTATTGATTTTTAAAGTAATTACTTTTGCAAGCCAGTTGAAACATTACGTAACCTAGCATTGCTAACGTTACGTTACACAGAGACGAGTTAACATTGCTTAGGCCTCGGGCCTGATGACGGCTCCGCTAGTCAGGATTTGCCCCGACCTACAAAAAGTCTGTAACTCGCAAATATGGTTGCTCATGTTCCACGCTATTCAAATATCTCAAGAAGCATTTTCTTTGGTTTCTGCTTCTAATTCGAATATGACTTTCTTACAAGTTCACAAAAAGTTATATCGACTTTTTAATATCGTCCATTATTTTTCGATTGTAAGTGTAATTAATTCAATGAAAAATAGCTAAAGCGTTTCAGCAACCATCAAGCGCCTGTGTTTTTACGATATTTAGGTTATCAAAGAGTTCGCATAACTGGTCGCAGCTATTCCGCTGGCCCAAATGCTTTACCGATGTAATCTATACCAATCCCAGGCCAACAAACAAACGAATAAAAAAAGAACAAACATCAGTTCCATAGCAATAGCAAGCGTTGTTTTTGCTGGCCTAAGAACGACAGGGCGTCAGGTCACCAGCATAAGCAACAGTGCGAAGGAAAATTGAATATCCCGATAACAAGATTTCTCCATATAGAACGCTCATTATTTTTGAATTAGCCTTCCATCACTTAATTTGTTCTATTCTAACGTATGTATGATTATGACCGGAAAATATTCTTTACTGCTGACGGCGCGAAAAACATGAAAAGGGTGAAGCTGTGTGTAGTAACAGTGCCGTATTGCGTTTCTACGATCTCTTGTAGAAACGCAATACGGCAGAACTTGTAGAAAGCGCAACATCCAGCATGCATATAAACCAATATTCGTTTAATTAATTTCCTGTATGAATTTTGTGTGTATTACAGCGACCTATGAGCAGATCGAGCATCGCGAGGAAATGTACGAAGTCGTGCATGAAGGTAATGGTTACACTATTAACAATAGTATACTTTCGGTGGCGGCCGCTATACGGCGTTGGGAAGGCTCAAAGTCGAAGTTGAAATCTAGCTCAGATTCGGCAAACAACGATTCGCTCACTAAATACGATAGAAACCTCACCTACCAAAGCAATCTAACCGATTCTGCTAGCCCGCGTGAAGGCCGACCTCGCACGAGTATGCCTTCAGGCATGAGTCACCTAACCCCTTGGCAAGGTATACATACAACCTCTAGAATGGTGGAATATTAATGAGAATCATAACGTTGTACTGATGTGGTAACAAATTATACGACTGTTATTGAGCCAGTAACAACGATAGTGATACTAATCATATCACAGACGCCCATAAACGAAATGAGCATTATACGGTATTTACAACATTGTTTATATACAACAAAGCTTTCGTTGGTTGCCTGTCAGTAGATACCTGTTAACAGTGTTCAAGTCATTGTTGTCAGAATAAACATTTACACTATAATAAATGGCAGCCTTGTTAAGGAACTCATTCGCAGCTAGCCTTTCGTAAGGTACAAGCTCTGGTTTCATATACTACTATCCATGAATACAAACGCCCTGCTGTTGTAGTTTAGTATTTTTGCCAACTTGCATGCATCCTTTTTATACTACATACATATATATATATATATATATATCTACATAAATATGCCGATGATGTAGAATTGCTTGGTCAATAGCTTCCATTAACACCCAGTGTGAAGGGTTTATGTTTGCCATTCACCCGGATAGGGCGTTACTTTTGAACGATATCGATCAAAAATTCTCATCATGACTAACATGGTTGCAACATATAATAACAATTCCTGATCGATATGTTGATAATCGAACTTATAAAACGCGTTAAATTATAGTAAACGTTATTATATGTAGGTGCCTTTTTTTTAGAGCTGTTTTAGGACGTAAATGCAGTTAGCCATGTTTGGAGTACCATGCGGCTTTGGCGCTATTGGCGACTTGTTAAATATGGGTGCGAGATAAAGATCAAGAAACTGACCGTATTTTCGTAGACCATGTATTTGTTGATACTCATCGTATCGAGTCCGTTATGCGTTGTACACATTCGCTGCCACCTGATTCTTATTCAAATATATACACATCTATATTTATCTGCAGGTCTGCATGTGGCCAAATACGTCCATATCTTGATCACGCATGTCAGTCTATTCACATATAACAGTGAAGCCCATTCCCGTAACTCTAGCCTCTTTGTCGTCCTGTGCATCGCATTTACGCCAGCCAGCTGTATGCCCTTTCCTCCCCCCTTTGCGCAGTTTACCTTTCCTTTTAATTGAAATCTTAACACGCCCCCTGTCTGTCCTTGTTTGTGTTGTTCAGGTCGTCTCTAAACCACCTCGTGATGCTTTTTTGTTATAGCTTTACAATTAATTTCTCGTTATTCTTCCTTCGTTTAGTTAATGTACCATTCCCTCTGATCTTTTCTGGGTGTCGCATCGCAACGTATTAGACAGTTAAGTAGTACCCACTAATGAGCTGTGCGTGCGTGCGTGCGTGCGTGTTTTTGTGCTAACGGCGGTAAACGCCGTTACCGAAACACCTCTTGGTCGCCTGTAGCGTCCGTTAATGTGACATGGACTTTTAGCAATTCTCCTATCACTCAAATCTGTTGTTTTTTTCACGCCTGCCGCTGCTGTTAGTGCTAACCTAGTTTATTTGGTATCCAATTAAATATTTGGAATTTCACACCTGGAACTGCTCCCGTTAAGCGTTGCTTGAGACGACTGATAACCGCTTTCAAAAGGAGACGAATTGCACGTCTGCGTTCAGTTTCGAATCTTAGTAAACTCACCTATCCCTAAAGTTAGTCGGCAAAAATATTCGTTAGATCCTTTAACTTTATCACATCATCCTCTAAGTTCGATGCAGTCGCGTGCTTTAGAAACGTGCATGTATTGCTCGATCGTGCCGGCAGCGCGTACGGCTTTTGCCGTAACGTGAGTTTAATAACTCTGGAGACACTTGTTGGTTGGTGTTGTGCTTGAAGTTTAAAATTCGCGGAAAAGCACGAAATAGTCTCCGATACTGACACTCTACTGGAAGGTGAACACGTCTATGAAAATAAAAAGGATGTCCAGAATATCACAGTATGGAACCTCCTGAATATAGAAAATTGTAAAGACGTTCCGTACGACGTTCCCATCAGAGTTCCCTTGTCCCCGACCGACACTTTTGCCATACTGCTGAACTGACGTCGAAAGATCGTGGCATTCAGCCGCCAGCTCGGACCCGTCAGCCCAGTTCTTGGTTGCCTTAGGTGCATATTGTTCGAGCGATGATTCCACCACGCCGCGATCATCTCGACGTCCTTTAACGTATTTCGTTCAAAGACTTTTATCCTAAGATGTTCACTGTTCCCCATTCTGTTCATCACAACGAGCCCCTCTGGGGAAGTCGGTTTCTCCTCAGACAGCTACGATGCTATTAATGGCAAGCAAGTTCATAAGGAATGACCTGCATCGGGCTGGCAGTCATTGCAAAAACGCGTTCCGCATATGCTGGGTGCCCAGTTGCCACCACTGTCCTGCTTTATATGAATCTCTTACAGAAGGACTGCACCTGCCCGCCGCGCCTAAGCCTCCGCTTCTACCGCGACAGAACTGCAGCGTTCTCGGATCTCTTCCGGCACCACCTCGACCGAAGGCCCACAAACCACTCAAAGGTGCATCGAATTGCTGTTCAACCTCGACTGGAATCCCATCTTCACCTTCGACGCCGTCGCTTCACCGTGCTACGCCAGCACCCTTTGTGTCAGAAAAAAACTATGACAGCGTTAGTTGTGAGTAATAGCGAACCGATGTTAACGTGAAATGCGACTATTTCTAACAAATCGAACTAACATGATGGTATTCATAGAGGAGCGTAGCAGCCTCGTGTTCGATGATGCATTTACTCGGAAAGCTAGATTTAGCTGTAAGGCTAACGGACGATAGCGATTCGTGACTGTGTACGCGGACAACGGCAGACAGGCTGTGTAACGAAGCAGTATTCCGAAATGTATAATGAAAATTTAATGGAAACCTAGTATTTTAATCGTATTTGGCTTATTAGAACGTGTGCTCTTTATGGCGCCAAAGTGCATGTATTTTGTTTTCTCTATAACGTGCTTTAGCCTGTACACTCTGTGTAATTCTTTTCATAGAAATGTATACGTCTCCCCATTATGCATTGTTATCCTTGACTAATATGGCTTTGCTTCCTTTCCTGACGAATTTGTTGCCTCGTGCTTGACGATTTTTGGAAAAAAGTGCCTCGAATTTCTCAATTTCTTAATAGCAAGCTTTATTTAGCTGGCTGTCATCCGACTACATAGTACGTTGTTAAGCATACCCTGCTGGAAATCCTCCATGAAAAGCTATTTGTCACAATTGATCATTTATATATAGACAACTTAGATGAAAATATTCTGACACGTTCGATGTATTGCTTCTGATGCGTGTAGTGAGCTCACTGATTAATCGGCCCCTTCCACCGGTACCGACTGGCGAAAATGTTTATGCAGACGTCGACTTTGAGCCGAACGTAAGTATCGTAGTGGGCTGAATGGCATAAGAGCAGATGACTTTCACTGACAATGTATAGTAGAAACGGGCACATACATAGGCTTGTTTCTTCAGTCATTCATTTTCTGCTTTGTTTCAGTCGGATCAGAATAGATGATAGCCCATAAACTGCTACGTAAAATGTTAGGTGACATTGGTATGAGTATAAACTATGAATACAAAACGCCTGGCAAGAGCAATATTAGTGAATTCCGCCCGTGATATTTCGAGCCAAAATGTTGCCGTACCTCCTAGTACACTTAGACTGCTCAGCGTCTAAAAATATTTATCGAGCCTAAATTCAGACGACTGATTTCGGTGCAGGAAAAGTTATTGCATGGCCTTTCGGTTTACCCCTGGTTCCACGATGTGGAACGTGAGGACGTCGACCGAATTCTCAAAGAAGTGGGCGAACAGGGCTGCTTCTTGGTCCGAATATCCCGACGCGGAGGACCATCGAACCCGTTTACTCTAAGCCTTCTTCATGAAGGGCGCATCTTCCACTTAAATATCCGAAAGAGGCCGGATGGCATGTTCGCGCTAGGCTCTGCAAAACCTCGAGAAAAGGTAACCTAATCAACTGCCCCAGTGGCCACACAAAGTTAATTGATTGCATGCCCGTAAAGCCATCAGCTAAATATTTCATACATATAAGGATGTAGTTGAGCGGGCATATCGTATGTCCAAATGTTTGAAGACAAACTGTACCGTCCTCTAAATCTATTTTCACTTCATTTATTCTAGACGTTTAACACAGTGTCAGAACTCATCGACTACCACCGACAGGAGGAAATTCTTCTTACTTCACGAAACCAGCCGGCTGGCAGTACGCGATTAACAGAAACCTCTCATAGCGACTCGCAAAAAAATGTCCAGAACGGCTGGTAGAATCCGAGAGGCTACACCGCGCAAAGCAAATATCCCTCGATGAGACGAAAAGGCAACGCTCGAACCCGCTGTCGCCATTTCGTCCACCTCCGACAGTCTTTATACTAACAACCAACTCATTTAATTACCTGTCCTCGCGTTGGAAAACTTTCACTATTCTAAGATGTATTTCAGCTTGCAGCAATGAAGCCTTCTACTGTAACTAAAACTAAAAACTGATCGATATTCAAGTAGTGGTAGACAAGACTCGGCTCACAGAAACACTGCGTTAATGCACATTTGTTGTACATACTATAACTGGGCGATAGTCAATTTGCTCCGAGGTTCTACAATAGCAAAGGGCTTCAGTTGGCCAGAACTGAGCTAAATAAATAATAAGCCACGTTCAATACGACTGTATCGCATCGACGTTGTTTCATCCCTAACATCTGAAAAAGGACGTTCGTTGTTCCGGAAGACCGACGTCGTTTATCGAACGGAGATACTACTTCGGTGCAGAAGCAGTGACCCGTCTGAGCCAGGTAGAATTTAGTGAACGAGTTCGTCATTCACGGAGGAGGCGCTCTAGCTATGGTGCCATAGATAGCCTTATATATTTATTGCTTACCACTAGATCGTCTTGTATTGCCTATGTACCAACTATTGCCTATCCCGTTAAAGTCTTCAACACACGAACAACAATAGGATGCGTACGATATGCAGTCGTGCAATTATATCGAACGGCCTTCCCCTTCTCTCCGATCCGAGGGAAGGCTGTAAGCGCGCAGTGATGCGTTCCACCAATTGTCTGTTCTATAATCAAAACATAACATATAAGCACGTCTTTAAAATCAATCGTGTGTCACTGCAGTACTTTGAATCCGAATTTCATTAGCATTATCATCATCTCTTTTAGGGGGAGGAAACAGAGTTATCCTTGCTAGTCAACACGTGTGCTGAAAAAAGGAACCTAATCTCTGTGCAATCCTCTGTGCATTGTTCTTAACGCTGTTGAACCATTATAGCATTGTACGTGCCGTCCAGACCAGTAACAATCATAGAGCCACTAACTACATCGTATAATAGTTGTCTTCGAACTATCCACCTACACAGAGTTCCGACTATTTCGTACATAAACAATTTCCCCTTATAAGCCTTGCCTAATAACAATGCAACCAGAATGGCAGATAGCCAAGATCAGTGAGAGTTATCGAAATGACAATGAGAGAATTCGCTTATGCACAAAAGGCGATTGTTCGGAGTTTTCGCTGTCGAAGAAGGCGTAGTCGTTTTTGTGGCAGTTCTAACAGAAAATAAATGTAATGTAATATATATTTTATAACTATGAGGATGCTGTTTTTTATAGTTCCATAGTACTTAGCGCAAGAAGGTTTACTTTTAAGTGTACCCTCTATCAGTGCATAGATCTATCTGTACGTATTTCCTAAGAGCTGGGATAGTGCGGTTAATTTCAAGTAGACTAACGGCGATACGGGTATTGGCGATGCCGAAAAAGGAAGCAAACGAGCGAAACTTCCGAATAAGGTTTAAGTACGATTCGGTTGTTCAAGCAAATGCGAAACCGTGTATTCACTCGTTCACCTCTGAATCCAACTCGAGGATGACGCTTGTCTTTCTGTAGTTGATTATTTTGACCAATTCCTATACCGTAGCTCTATCGTCCACTGACCCGTTGCGTTCTCCTGCTCCTTTAGAATTGCGCCTTTCAACTTTCCCTCTCCCAGGGTATCGTCCCCTTCCCATGCGGCCCTCTCTCATGACGCGAGCGTTGATTCGAGCTGGCTCTCCCTGTCTCGGCGATTGGTTAGTCAGAAAAAAACGCCGCGTTGGTGGTGCGTGGGTAAAGGTCCAGTGGATTTCGTATCTACGTGACTGTACAGCCGTATACTCGTAGAGCTGACAGGGTCAGGAGGAGCAATCTTGGGTGGACGGATCGCTGTGCTGTCGTTCGATTGTGGTGTTTACTGTAAGAATACCATTGTGATTTCTGCTCTTGTGGTGGTTGGTTTTTGTTTGCGTCGGAACTCGGAGGTGCGGTTGTTAGTATCGGGCTTACGGCTACCAAATCGCCGCCCAAAGTGCGATTTAGAACGTTTACAGCGGGACGGTGTCGTTCGTACACGATATGTCCCTCAAGAGACTACGTCACCTTGTCGAGCTGCCCAGCTCGGACAAGTCGGAGGTCCTTACATTGTTTAAATATCAAAACCATAAAATATATTTGGACTATGTGCGTATGCATTTGAGTTTTGTGCTCGACCTGCCGACTGACGACTTTGCCCCTCTTCTGGATACCGATTACTTTAAGGAGACGAGATTTAGCTGTCCGCCCCTTAAGGGCAAAGACACGAAAGGTATGTATCTTTCGGCGTAAACTGAAACCGATCACCAGTTTCATCAAGACACTATTTATTAGTTTAATAATTGAATTTACTAACGTAAAAATCATTATATAATTTGCCGAACACCGAAACGACCCTATATTGAATGATCGTGTCCACATTTCTACGCTGATTATTATATATGTAATATAGCATGGACGCGTATTGCATCTATGCTGATTTGTAGTGCTCAGGCTTTTTCCTCTCCATGGATCGTGTGTCAGGAACTCTGAACTCGTCCTGTAATGTCAGCGTGTGTGGGTAGCGGCATAGGTCATTCTATTTCACTGCCGCTCGAGTAGTCTGCGAACTTTTCACTGCTTACTTGGATTCGTACGCAGACGTAAATATACGGTGAACTAAATCATGACGACAGTGTGCTTCCCACTTCCAAGTGAGACACGGGCGTAGACTTTTGCCAGGCGAACAAAATAAGAAACAAGCGCCCGAATTTACGAACAGCATGACGGTCTTGTACTGTGACGTGAGCAGATTGTAGCTGAAGACAAAGGCCCCACTTTAGGTGCATCTAATCGGCATCGTGAGTTCGTGAAGCTGCTGATAAGATATTTAGCTATCGGGATGTGTGGGGCGTTGGAACGGTGTTTGACCTTCTTCAACTAGATTGCCTATTGTACGCCTTAATTTTGCGCACGTAAGAGTTAGACGAAGGTTACGTGCAACGTAGCATATTAGATCTGCACCAGAAACTTTTACGTACGTTTTTTTAGCATAAGACTACTCAAATTGGGTTGTCCTGTGTTTTTTCGTCTGAACGCGGTCTTCCATTAAAATAACAGCCAGATTTGTCCCGAAAGTTATGTATATATATTAACGGAAGCTTGAAATAGCAGGGCAACACTGTTGGATTTAGTCAATCTACTCAACTACGATAGTAAACTACTTTAATTATTAAAATAATGAATGAGTATTAAATTTTGTTGAAAAAACAAAAGATTTCAATTCAAGGAAGGAAAGTGTTATTCAGTGTTTGTCTGTGGCCGTAGTATAGAAATGGATTGACTTGACTTTGGCTAGTTAATCACACGATATCACACAGGAGCCATAAGACAACAGCTGATCATACCGTAATATAGATCCTATTTTGTGACGACTGTTTGGCTTTTACTGGTTTGAATTCTTCGCTTAGTTCTATCATTAATATACAGTTGAGCTTCCCTTCCTTGAGAAGTTAGTTTAATACTAATATTACGTGCTGACGCTGACTGAGGTAGACAAAAGCAAAATTGACCTTTTTAATTAAAATCCAGACTATCTATACGCATTTTATTTTGAGCCCACTACTCATAAACGCTGTAACGTATAAGACCCTTGGATTGAGCCGTTCTGTCAGGCGTGCGGCTTCTGTGTGGCTACTCCCACCGAACGACCGCAGGCTCTTGTTGTTCGCGGGCGTGCTTGCTAGCAGGACCGATCGAAAGGCCAGGCCTGACGCCGGCAGTGGGGTCAGTCCATGATGACGAGAAGAGCGATGACGATGATTATGCGCATGGCGTCGGTGTTGACGCTTGGGAAATCGACATCGAGCTGGGACCGATGAGGAAACCCTGTTAAATAAGACGACGTTGTGACGCTAATCCGACAGCACTCGAAGAGATGTGCCGCCATGAGCGCTGGACCTTACTATCGTTGTTTAGAACTGTTGCTTGTGATGTGATCTTTTGACATATAATTGAAGATTTAGGCATACACATAGTTCTTGGATCAGGTCTCTTTGGCTAGGTCCATAGCCCGTCTATTCAAGGACCGCGACGCGTACTTTGTCTATTTTCTAGTCTGTGAATTTATTAGGGAGCAGTCACCGTTGTTTGTCATTAGACGAGAGACGGAGCTAAGGAAGTACTCGAAACGATTAATAATGAACGCCTTAAATGGCAATATATTTAGGACGCCATCATCCATGGCTGTGTATCGGCTAGTGACTAAATATAATTGGTGTGGCTTCCGATCAGCGTAGCCATGCTTCGGGCTAACTACATAATCCATAACGATATGATTTCCTGCTCAACATACTTGCAAGTGCCACTTATATATATATTAAGAGACTCTCGATCCGATATTTAAGAGTCAGAAATACTCTGAATATCTGCAAAGCGGTTATCCACATTACTCACTATAGATATGAATAAAATACGTCTTTAAAAGTAAATCTGGGAAGGAAACTGCGATACTAGCGGAACGCTCACAACTGAATGCGGTTCTGCATTAAATTGAATAGACTATTCATATAATCTGTATAAAATGTCAGTTTAGGCTCCCTATGCAGACATATCCGGTAGCACTAAAGGCTACGGCAGTTCGCTTAGCCTTACAACGAAAATAACAACAATAGAAATATGTAAATGAAATGGGCCAGTAACTGGGTGACTGCACATTCTCCTGTGCTTGCTTGTGCGTTAGGCACAGGATCAGAACTGCCAGACTGCCACCATACTCTGCCACAATAATAACAACAACAACAACAACAAGCTCGGGACAAGACAGAACAAATACGTCTGTTTTCCTCTGGTTGTATGGATACGACAGCATCACAATGAAATCCGTCGCTATCGCTAAATAGTGGATGTCGTCGTTCGTCGCTCTAGATTGTCCTATGCTTTCTATCGCGGCCGCTAGGAGGTCATGATCGTAAAGTTGTGGCACAAGTAGAAAAAAGACGACCAGCGAAGATATTTTTGTTGCCTTCCTATCTTTTTTTAGTGGCGCCCTATCTCTATACCGTAGTTTTGTATCAACGCCATTTTCTCAATAATTCCAAGACGTCGGCCCGTTACACTGATGTAACATAGGCGGCACCTGCGGACATTTATTGTATGGTGCAACTATTTTTATATCTTCATTATATGGGGCCGTGTTAGAGCGAAGCTGAGATCACTTTCTCTCTCTCTCTCTCTCTCGTGCTATGTCCCACTTATATGGCTGCTTGAGCAGCGGAATATTGCTAATACATAGTTCAGATACGGATATATGTCTGCGGATATTGGGTGGGCATTGTCGCGAAGACTCGTATACACATTTACAGACACAGACGAATTATGACGAAGACGCTGATGGCGGCTTTATGCCCTTGTTTGAAGAGATCCAACGGTGGTTTTGTTCATTCGCAGTTCTGTTACGACAATTTTAAGATGGCCCTTCCTTAGTGTTTACGCTTGCCTGACCCTACCTATCGGTGTTTATTGAGAACATTGAAAGAGCGTCAACGCTTGTATTATTTTAATTATATATCGTACGATGAACACGCATCTATTCTAGGGAAAGAGAGGTCTTCGGTTCGAGTCTCCGAAATTGAGCGCGGACATATTAAGCGGTAAATGTGAGAGGCGTGCGGTCAAAAATGGCGATATGGTGTTTTCTTCAATGGATGTGTCCTTTGTCCTAGCGATTACGCTTGCTGCCTTCAACAATGACATTGCGATTAGATATTTTTCAGGCGCTAAACTCGTATACGGTCATTTACGGTAGAAGCTTTGAACTTGCCATCTTTACAGTTGAGCTAGGGATGTGGTGCTGCCAGATATAGGTTGTACTATTTCAGTACGACTATCGTGAGATTGAGCGATGTGTTTTGTTAGATCATTGAGTTTCAAGCTCAATTTTGAATGGGCTTAGTTTTTTTCATTTAGGGTGATCAAACTATTATATGGTTGTAGCACGATACGTATGGGAGAAAATCTAGTTTTTTGAGACGATTATCACATCCGGCCTTGTTTCGCCTTGGTCAGGCTCCTACGCCAATTTTAAGTTACCGAGTTGAAAAATAAGTTAGTAAATCACCATGATTTTAACCGTCCCAACTTCTGAGCTTGAGCTAAAATGACTGAACTAGACAACTGTATTGGTTATTAGTCACCGATGTTGTTTTCCACTTTCTTAAAAAAGACCTTATATCAAATTAATTTCCCTTATTTTACAGGTAGAACTGCATGAGATACTGGAAATAAAAGTCTGCCCAATGCCGAAACAGTCCAATCACACCTACAATCATGGCTAAACAACACTCTTTACGTGGTATTAGTATTAACGAACTATCAAGTGTTTTCAATGCAGAATACCTCAGATCAGTCTCAGCGTAAACGCTTATATTTTTACCATGCGTTCCGATTGAGTCTCATACAGTCCGTCCAAGTGTCCACTAGTGCCTGTCGGCAGTACGAGTAGGGCTATTCGAGGTCGATTTCATCAGTTTTAACCCATCTTAGCTGATTTTGGATTTGGCTGCCGAATCGGACGCTGCTGCTACTTTATCGGGAAAAATCTCCAATTTTCAAAGAAACTCAGACTGGAATTAACCCTTAGATTAAGCCAGATCCTGCTTTAATTGACTCGGTCACGTATTTGAGACAAATATAGCGGAAAGACTTGATGGTGTCGCTTCTTTCTTCAACACTAGCAGTGCCTACTTCTGTGTAGCATATAGGGCCTGAAGTATCTTCGTGGGCCTGCATTATGCGTTTCGATTTTAGACTGTCCTCCTATGACCAGATTCGTCCACGTAGACTGAGCTTACCGGTGCCAGCATGGAGAATGACTAAAAGCCAGCATAGCCTTCGCAAACCATCATAAACTGCTCAGGGAAGATACGTTCTGAGACCAGATTTTATAGGCGCCAGTTGATATTGATCATCGCAGCCACACAAAAAGCAAATGCGACGAGCTCATAAGCCTTGCTAGGCCTTCCGTCACCTATAAGGGTGCGAACTTCGTCACAATAGTTTGCTGCCTACAGGCTGGCTGGCTGGCTGGCCGCTCGTCTAGAGGGCAGACAGACGAAGCGCTCTACGGAGTTTAGAATGGTCATTGACGCCGCTACAAAAATTGAGTCGGCGGTGGCCAATTTTGAATAGTATCACAATATAGTGTTATTGTGTGATTCTACTAGCGCGATTTATGCGCCGGGTGCTATCACTGCTACTGTGGTACGGCGAGATCGAATCAGGTAAGTAATCAAA